ACAATTATGTAGGCTATAGGAATGTATGGAAGAATAATGCTAACGAGTGGTTGTACATTTAGAAGTAAATAGTACAGGCAGTCCCCGAGTTACATACAAGATAGGGACTGTAGGTTTGTTCTTAAGTTGAATTTGTATGCAAGTCGGAAACTCCAGCCCAAAAAACATTTTTTAGTTTTGGATAGCCTAGGGAAGGGTCACGTTTGTTTTGCTGTCTGTTCCCCTTGTTCAGAAGATTTTACCTCACTTTCTGTCCCTGGCTTTTGAAAATGTTGGGTTGTCAGTGCCATGCGTTGTCACGCAGCTCCAAGAACAGTCACTCTTTCCCATGTGTTGTCACACAGCTCCAAGCAGGGTCACTCTATGCCATGTGTTGTCACGCAGCTCCCAGAACATTCAGTCGGTCGCATACGTTGTCACTCATTTTTAAAGCCTAAATGAAGAAACTGAAAAGTGAAGCTGATTGGTTGCTATAAGTAACTGTTCCAGATTCTGTGTTCTCCAAATTGGATAAATTCCCCTCAAGGTCTATAGATCAGGTAGACAGCTGAGTATGACTTATTACATTGGTGGAGTCACAGCGCATTCCTGAACTTTAATTTAACAATCTAGTGAAAGCCCTAATCAAATTTTCTGGATTCCCTTTAATTAACATGGACTTATTTTATTTTATTAATATTTTAATACATATCAGTGTTGGTTCTTTGAATACATGTGTGTGTGTGTGTAAAACGTTTCAGCCATATCGTTTAGTGTGAAGCCCTGTGGGAGCATCTTTGTCCTTGCCAAGATGGCCGCCTTCTGTTGAAGACTCAGCATAGGACAGATTGTTCTCTAGTGTCCAGGAAATCTGCTCCTATTACAATATGTGCTGTTTGTCCTCTCCAAAATGGCTGAAGCCGACTGGAGCCCTAGCAGAGCGCCGATTGGCCTCTAGTAGGGATGCACCGATACCACTTTTTTGAGTACGAGTACCGATACTTTTTTCCAAGTACTCACCGATACCAATTACCGATACTTTTTCTTAAAGGGACAGGTCACATTCGGGACTTGGGAGCTGCACTAATCTCGGGGGGGGACCTCGGTTCGTTAGTACGGGTTGTTCGTAAGTCGGGGACTGCCTGTATATGTCAGTCTAGATTTATAAGCAGATTCTAGTATATTGCAGCATACCCAGTATAGCCACTATAACCTCACAGGCTCATATACTTAAAATGTACATAAAAAATATGCAATGTACTTCGACATTTAAAAACTATGCTTTGCATTAGTCTTTTATTGAATTGCATAGTTTAGTCAGGTTGAAAAAAAAAAAGATACATGTTTCAACCTATAGAGAAAAAAAAAAGCCTAAACAGAACTATACCCAGAAGTACCCACCGTTGATCCAGAGGAAGGAAAAAAAAACCCTATAAAACATGGTTCAATTTGCTCCAACAAGGGGAAAAAAATCCTTCCTGATCCCATACGGCAATCGGATATTCACTGGATCTAAAATCTCTGATGCCTAATATACCTATAAGAACTCAATATCCAGTAATATTCTCTGCATTAGGAATACATCCAGATGTTTTTTTTGTTTTTTTTTTAAACAATTAACTGAGTTAGCTAGAACTAGCTCCTGGGGCTGTCTATTCCACCATTTCACAGCTCTGACTGTGAAGAATCCTTTCCGTATGCAAAGGTTAAACCTCTTTTCCTCCAGACGCAAAAAGTGCCCCGTTTGTCCTTTGCAGTGACCTTTTAAAGTGAATAATTTGGCACCAAGCATACTATATGGATCATTTATGTATTTATGCATAGTAACCATGTCTCCCCATAATCGCCTTTTCTCCAGAGAGCACACATTCAGTGCAGCTAATCTTCCCTCATAGCTGAGCTCCTACATGTCTCTTATCAGTTTAGTCGCCCTTCACTGTACTTTCTTCATAAACCTTAAAGGAGAACTATTAGGCGAGTGAAAATCACTCAGCCTCATAGTTCGAGCCGACGTGTGACAATGAAACTGTCACAGGTCGGCTCAATAGATCAGGAAGTAAGCGTACACATATCGTAGCTCGCTTACTTCTCGATCTATCCGTGCAGAGAGCCGTGACTGTCACTCACGGCTCCCTGCAGGGATTCCCCCCCCCCTCCCCTGTCCTATCCTCCAGCGCTTACTGGCGGAACGGATGGGGCGGGTACAGCTGGCTCTGCCGCTAGATAGGCAGAGCCAGCTGTCACTCACACAGCTGGGTGGATCCAGACAGCATTGTCGGGATCCATTCCGGCTGTGGCCTCTGAGTATACCGGGAGCTGTAGCTCGCGGTATACTGAGCTTTGGGTGATGGGAGGATGCTAGTTTGTGTCCTCCTGTTACCCTAAGGAGAACTATGGAGAAAAGCACTGACCCCATAGTTCTCCTTTTTTAAGGCACCTATATGTGACTCAATTAATGTGCCCGGGCTTCCATTTAGGTAGCACCTCTGGATTTTGAATACACAATTTGTGGGCCTGTTGATCATTCTATTGTATTCCAACAATTAGCGATACACCTATACCATTTTTTCCAGACCAAGTGCAAGTACCAAAACTTTTCCTCAAGTACTCGCCGATACCAATTACTGATACTTTTTTTTCTTCTAAAACAATACAGACTAGTGATTTTGGGACCGTGGTGAAGTACCAGGGCCTAGTCGCAGCTGCAAACGCTGACATTACTCAGTCAATGCGCCTGGACTTCCATTTAAGGAATGCACAATTTGTCTGTTAGCATCGATTTGTATCATAATAACCTTTTTAAAGCCACCTTTTATAGCTTAGCATCTTTGTGATACGACACAATTGATGTGTCTGGCCTTTTATTCAAGTAGCAGGTCTTGACATCAATTCTGGGAATGCACAATCGTGTTTGTTTAGCATTCTTTTGTCATATGTCTACTTATCTGATTTCAGACATTTTTTATAATGCATTCCATTTCATTACCTTAAATAACACACCAAGAAAGGAAATAGCAGAAGGAGATGGGCAATAAAACCATATCTCATACATTTTATTTTGAATGAGATGGCATTTTTTGTATTAAAGTAGTATTTAAACTTTCAAACCTTTTCCAATAATGAATCCAGATTAAACATATACATTGCCCAGCAAAATATTTCTTTATATATTTTGCCCAAGCGCTTAGTCATCATGTTTCCGAACAGCTGTCTTTAACCCTCAGCTACACATCCCTGAACTTCCTGTTCAGGAGCACAGTCTCCAGCAGCTGTCTTATCTATGAGCTTTAAGAAAAATGTAGGGAGTGGCTTGCCCTGCTGTGTTTGTGGAGAACACACAAGGGTGGCTTCATAGGACTCTGAAAAGCAGCCACCCTAAAACAGAAAACAGGCCAGTGCTCTGGGGACCAGCTAATTCTGCAAGAAACTAAAACGGCATCCATTGTAAGTGATTTCAGCATTTTCAAAAAAAGCTTACAAATGTTTGTCTTTCATATCACTTTAAGGAATGGAGAAAAATATGGAAAAGGGAATTATTGTAAAAACTACACAGGATCTTAAAATGCTGAAACCAGTTTTGATGAAAATCTTAGAAAACTCGAAGTATGCTTTTCATTTTTTAAATCACACAAGTGATTGCATAAGTCAAAATGTTCAGCCTTGCATTAGCAGCACAAATTATAAAACAACATAAAGTAGCAAGAGTTTCTGCAATTCCTTGAATATAGCCAACGCTCAAATCATCAGAATGGCAATGGCAGATCTTTGGTGTCATCCATATCATTTGCAGTGTTGGAAGGTTTTGTGACCTAGCCTCATGCAATGACTGCCATTATGAAAGTAGTTGTTTTCGCAAGTGAACATTTACATAAATACAGTGGTACAAGGGAGCGACTAAGATCCCATGCATACACAAATTTTACATTTCCGTGGATCCAGAAATTGAATGTTAACATTCAAAACATTGTCATGGCAATGAAACAAACTTTTGAGAGGCTTTCAAAAGTTAAGGCTATAGATTTAGAGATCAGATGATATTGGGGTAATTGACTTGAGCACAGAAATCCGGAACACTTTTTTACCTCAGGTGAGAGTCTGTGAAATGTCCATATACCAGAAAAAAATACAATCATTATAATTTTACAACGATTTTTATCTTCCCACACTTGATTAGTAATGGATATTGTAAATGGTCGTAATATATCTATAGTAATTACTGTTTATGCTCCGGCCGCTCTGCAGCTCTCCTCCCCGCTGGAAGCCTGTTGCTGCGGTCTGTAACCCTTCCGATTCCCCACTGCTCTCCCCCGCTTTAAATGGCAGAGGCAGCGGGGATTGGAGGGGACACAGACCGCTGCAGCCATTGGGGAGGAGAGACTGTGAATTTATAAAAAATACCCCCCCAAAAATGTGAAGTTCCCCACGAATACACACATACTAATGGAAACACAAGTCAGGTGCACCTGCGTATGAAAATTACGATGTCCAGTATCGCCACGTGCACCAGAGTGAGAGCAATAATTCTCAGGCCAACATTCATGGCTAACTCTAAACTGATGGGATTTTATTATATATATATATATTGTGTGATATTTATTTATTTTGTATTTTCTGTCCAATTTTGGTGCGTTTTATTTTAAATAAAAGTTTAGTTATTGTATTGGCTTGGAGTTTTTCCAATCCAGATTATTTTAAATTCATGAAACTAATCCAAATGTCTAATATAATACATACAATTAGAAATAAAAGTAAAAAAAGGTTGGAAAAAAAACTATTTTTGGTTTCAGCCTGACGCATGCTGCGGGAGGTGCGTTGCGGTACCATTAATTTCAATGCCACACCAAACGTGCCTCCAACCCGCAGTGCAATGCCGTGCGCTCCAGTGTGGGGCAATTGCCAAAAAATTGTGCATGCAATTTTATTCTGAAGTAAACTTTATGCTCGTAACATTCCATTTGTGTATTTTATTTTAAATACAAGATGGTATTACATTTTTGTTTTTATCTAATTTATCGATTTTAATCAAAAAAGAATCAGCCAACTAATGAAAATAACGGTTATGAAAATAATCATTAGTTGAAGCCCTAGCAGGCACGGTGGGGAGAGCAGTAGGGGGGTAAAGGGAAGGAGTCAGGCACAGAGAGGGGGGAGGGGTCAGATGGTGGTGAGGGCAGGATGATGTTGAGAACAGATGGGGGGAGATATGCGGTAGGAAGGGCAGGAACTGCAACTTTTAAAAACTACGTCAACATTGGCAGCTCCAACATCTATATTTTCAAAGCTCCACTTTGAAGTGTATGCCATTATGCTTCATCAGAATAAATAGATTTACAATAGTCTTTTAGAAATAGCAACATCGCTGCTATCCACCTCTTAACCATGTGGGCGGATGGAGAGGGATGAAAGGGAGTTCATAGGACACCACCACAGGGGCCAGGAGTGTGAGGAACATTCAGATAAAGCCAAATATTCTATTGGGTAATAACACATCAAGATCTTCTTTATATCATATAAGCCGGACCTATAAAAGCCAATAGATACCCTTAGAAATTGATCATAAATATATGTCTATATAGATACATATGCCCTTCTCATATGGCTCTAAAGACCACAACCTATTCCATTACTTGATGGCGTCTGTATAAATCATCGCTGCATACTCTGTAATCAGCAATTTGGGCTTCAAGCAAGCCCTACAGGTAAAAACATTATATATTAGCCCAGTGTCTTATTTTCAACTAGACAAATACCTCGTCTTACACAATTTATAAAGCATAATTATCCTATTTGTCTCACAACAATCCCTTCTCTTTGGGGTGCCCACGTGTAGTGCATAGAGCTTCTTTACACAAGTATATCCAAACCTTGTATGATGAAAGCCTATACTTAGAACAGATTTAATCCAGGAGTGGCTTTAGGTAAAAAATGACATGTAGGGTGGTGAGGCTGAGGGGGATATAGGAAGGGAAAAGACAGCAGGGAGAGACGGCTAACACACACCCTTAGGCAGGGGTCTCAAACTCATTTCACTTGGGGGCCACTCGACAATCTTTTTTTTCTCCCATGGTGGCCGCTCGCCAAATTTCATACTTCAAAATAAAATGTAACTATATCCGGTGTGGTACTATGGACCCCAATACACACATATAAGGCCCCATTCATATCTGTAAGTTTAGGTGCGATTAGGGATTCCTGGGTCAGGAACTTGCATTTTCCTGCAGCAAGAATCCCTCATCTGGCATTTACAAGCGTCTGCAGTCACCCGTTGAAGTTAATGATCAGGTGACCGCAGCTGCATGTAAACGCCTGCACACCGCATGTAATGGCATGTGATATAATTACAAGCGGTTAGAAAACACTCCCTGGATGCACAATTGATGCATCCAGGGAGAGTGATTGATCACATACCCATTGAAGTTAATGTAGTCATATGTTAACAGTGGCCGCTTGTAAACACCAGATTAGGGATTCCTGCTGCAGGAATTCTTAATTGTAGCTTAAGATACAGGTGTATCTTAAGGTCCTCCCTGAAAAAAGGTGCTTACCTTTTTTTCAGGGAGGAGGCAGATCGATCCCTGGTGCTCTAGTGGTGATTAGGGAGATCTGCTGCAGACATCACTAATATGTTACATAGAACTGAGCTCCAGCCAAAGTTATCCGAGTGCCAGAGCTGACAGGAGCAGCTCTGCGGTCTGCATCCAACAGAGATGCAGACCATGTAGCTGTTCCCGCAAGTCAAGTATGCGGTCACCGCGTACCTGACTTGGCAGCGGGCCACATAGTATCGGCTCACGGGTCGGTACTTTGAGACCGCTGCCCTTAGGGAGTGGGAGAATGACGACTCCTGGACACAGCAAGGCTTTGGAAAGAGGCTACTTTAAATCTATTTCATTTGTATGTCTTTCCCTTGACTTCTGCCTCGCCTTGTGGACTGAGCGCCGCTACCTTAACCCCTTCAGACTGCAGCCAACTGTCCAAGTTCTGAACCTAAGCAAACCCTAGAATGTGAGCTTTGACATCAAATGTATTTAAATGAGCCTTAATTTGATATAAATAAAATCGAATTTTAGGTAAACCCCCCCCCCCCCCAAAAAAAAATCAAACCCCCAAAATACTGAACCGAACTATTGTACTGATCAGAATGATCACAGCAATAAAACATCCAGTTGACAGCCCTTAACAATCTTAGTTAGGATATGTGTCAGTGTGACTGATGTGAATTTTGAGTGTGGACTGTGCTGGGTGCCCTGGAGCAAGCACATTAGCTGGGCGTAGATACAAAGGAAGCAGGTGCATCTACTGAAGAAAAAAAAAAAAGCAGACGGACTCAGTCTCAGAGTGCACTCTGCCATCCTCCAGGTTACCAGTGCCGTAAATAGTCCAACTCTTGCAGGACACATGGAGAGAGCACAGCATATATATATAAGTTCACTGCACTATGGTTAGGGGGGCAGACAGCAAATGACAAGTTCACACAGAACACCAACATGGGGCCTCAAGGAAATGGCACCAGTGGACTGAAACATAATGTAGTTGTAAAATTAGATTATTGTATCTGTATGCAGCAAATAGAAGCCTTACACCCTCATGCAGTATGCTCATTATACAGCTTTAATGTAATTGCACTGTATTTTGGTTCTGCAGTACAATCAAACATAATTTTAAAAAAACTCCTGATTGTTATGCGTTACTATTTTTGTGCCCTTAAATAAACCTTAATGTCTGTTCTTCTACAGGTTGTGGGAGCTTATCTGATGAGCATGCTGGCATAATTTCCATACTTCCCCAGCTGGCAGCTAAACTTGCTGCGGACCACACTGATGTGCCTGTTGTTTGTTTGGAATCGGATTCCGGGTAAGACATCATCTTCAATAGGAAATCATTTTTTTTTGTTTTTAGCTATGGATGTTAAAGAAGGTATCATTACAAAGAAAAAAACATTTGCTCTTGGTCCCATTCCAACCTATGCTGTCCTTGCTAAGCAGTGTGGTCAGACAGCTTGAAACCCACCTAACCACCACCGCCTTAGCTGTCCAACCACACTGCTAGCAAGGAGATTAATAATATGACAGAGTTATTTTTATTACAGCAGGCACCGCTGTAGAGGAGTCCTGTCATTCACAGCAGGGGGTGGGGGAGCCTGTGAGGCTATGTACATGAAACTCTCCCCTGCCTGTGCCATTCTTGCCCGGTTCAGTGTCTCTCTTCCACCCTGTCCCTCTTTCCGGCAGCTTCACACTCCGATGGAGAACCTGACCCCAGATCTAACGTTAATCCTTCACTCTCTCTGGCAGGCACAGCAGTTACATGAGGGAATAAGATGCACTGTGAGTGACTATAAGTCCCAGCTCTGCTCATTCACTCAGGTAACTGCTGTGAATGCCTGGGGAAAGCAGAAGGATAACGGGAAAGAAGAGGGAAAACAGGATCTGCACTTGGCTATTCATCTGGGCACAGGATAGTCTTCATTGTGGTCTTATATAAAAATCTTTTTTCCTGGAGTTCCCCTTTAAGGTGAAAATTAAAACTAGCCAAAAAAAAATACAATATGATTAAATTACCCCCCCCCCCCCCCCCCCAAAAAAAACCTAGAACAAATTCCCCCCCCCCCCCCCCCCCCAAAAAAAACCAAACAACAAGCCACGCATATGCTGCATATGCATACACGAAAGCACAGGCAGCAGTAAAGCAGCTTTTCTGTGCGTACGTGTATGCACGGAGGTGGAGGGCTTTTCATTGTTTGGTTTTTTTTGTAGGGGGGGGGGTAATTTAATCATATATTTTATTTTTACTTCAACAACGATTTGTTATATTGGGTATCCATGCACTTCAGAGTGAAAGGAATCATGTTTAGGGCCATTAGTTATGGTGAATACCTTGTTCACACCATACATGCATAAAAACTGATGAAAAAAACTTGCAAAGACACTGGTGGGGGGAGGGGGTTTACTCAGTACTTGGTTTGGGCCCCTTTTGCAGCAATTACTGCAATTACTTTTGCACGATATTCTAATTATTCGAGTTTCACCTGTAATGTGGAATTGTTCAAGAAACTTTTGGACGATTTCTTAAGGGACCGTAATATACAGGGGTACAGGTACTCCTAGAATGAGGTCCTAATAGGTTGGACATGATTGACTAATGTCTTTATTCAACCTCAAATACTATGGTTTACATGAGTTTTCATGCATGCTTCAGTGAGTTTAGGCATGTTCACATCAGTTCATTTGCATTTTTTTATGTGCAGATTCACACACATCCTGTGGCATCATTTCCTCTTCCCTATCAAAGGGTTATTTTATTGGAAAGGATTAGGGAGGAGATGAATGTACCTGGGTTAGGTTTGAGGGAGGGTCACTGAACTGCTTTTAAGTTTGCATGTTGATCTAAACTCCAATGAAGTCAATAGGAGCAGAATCTTTCAAATCAATTCCCTCCCTCTTTAAGGCTAAATGCAAGGGGTTGTTAAACAAAGAGCATGGGGAGCTGGGCACTGCCTTTGGGGACATGTATCAATGTTTTTCCACTGTTATGCTTTCCCTCCTATCCATCTTATTCCGAGAATTCTTAAGAAATGGGTTCTGGAAGAAACAAAGCTCATTCAAATTGTGCCTTTTTGGCCCAAAAGGGCTTGGTTCACTCTACTGCTCTCCCTCATTCTATCGCCAGATTCTATCTCTCAGGGCCGGGTCCTACATCCAGAGGTGATCAGATTCAGCCTAACAACCTTTTATCTGCGGAAGACATCCTAAGAGCTAGGGGTCTTTCCAGTAAAGTCATTGATACTCTTCTACGTAGTGGTAAACCAGTAACCTAAGAAAAATTAAGGCAAAATATGCAAGAAACCAAGAAAGGGCGCAAAGAACACTGGCTAGCTAAAGAAGTTATAATGGAGACTAAAGGTGGTGGCACTTACGCGTGATTGCCAGGATCTGGAGATGGACGGCCGGTATGGAGGATCGGGGCGCTCGTGGTGTGGTTCCGACTGTAGTTGATATGCTGATCCGAGAGGTACATCCACAGGAGGGTGTAGACAAGAAGAGGGGACTTCGTCCGAAGTGCCGTTGGGGGTCTGTGCGGTGTGGAGGAGAGGCAGGGAGATCGCTGTGGTGTCGGCAATGGACAGGGCTGTAGCAGCTGCGTGTGTCAGCGAGCGGTCACTGACAGGTCTGCTGGGGACAGTGTACGGAAGCAGCTGACAGATGCCGAAGGTCGAATCAGAAGGTATGTTTTTTCTGTAAGGCAAAATATGGAAGACCTTTCATACCTGGAGGAGCAAGTGTAACAGGAACTCGCATATCCCAGCTATTTTGGACTTTCTCCAAGAAGGGGCTGATAAGGGTTTAGCCTTTAGTACACTTAAGGTAGTGTACTAAAGTCTTTTTCAGTGCTTAGTCTTTTTCTTCAGGTGTTGCTGGCCAAGGATCAGTTTTTATATCTAGATTCTTTAAGGCCCTCAAAAGAATTGGACCTATTTCTGTCTGAGCCATTCCTCAGTGGGATTGATCTATGGTATTGCAGGGCCTTACAGGTCCTCCTTTTGAGGGTTATTAAACCCTCAGCAGTTTTTGCATATATCTACTGCTAGCAAGCAGTAGATATATGCAAAACGATGGAAAACAAAAAGCTTTTTTCAAAGGGTTAAATCTTACCCATGTCTTCTCCGCACGCTCCTGTCCGAACATCTGACAATTCTCGGACGGCTGCAAAGAATATTGGGGCGGGCCCATGCACAGTCCAGATGTTCAGCCGGAAGACGAGGAGAGATGCAAGGTAAGTAAATGCAGCAGGGTGGACCTGCACAGATGCTGTTGGACAGGAAGTGCCAGTTAAGACGGAGGAGTCGGCGCTGGACCGGAGACCGGCGCCAGTGCTGGAGGGGACAGATGAAAACTACAGGAAAGAAGATGATCGGATTAAGAGGCATCATTTAAGACAAGTCCTTACTAGTGCATTGGGGGGGGGGGGGGATTTTTTAGCCTTTAATTTCACTTTAAGTGAGTCCTCACTCAGTAATCTTACTTTCAAAACGATCAGGGCCATCTTGGGAGGAGAGCACAGAGGGAAGGGGCTCCCCCGGGTACAGCAGTTCCGCTCCTGCACTCCTGAGATCTGCAGATCATTCCTCTTCATCCCATCCAGGGTACATGTTATCTGACTGCAGATCATTCCTCCTCATGCCAGCCACGTTACCATGGCATCTGATTGCAGATCATTCCTCCTCACCCAGCCATGGTGCCATGTTATCTGACTGCTGGGATTAGTAGTCCTCTATAGCTGACGGTATTATTCGGCTTTGCGGTATAATGTATCGCTGGGATTTTTAGTCCTCTGTAGCTGATGTTGTTCTGCGTTGCTGTATAATGTATTGCTGGGATTTGTAGTCCCTCTACAACTTGGAGTTAGTAACTGAACTACCAGGTTTGCAGCTGGGACCAGGCCCTGGCCTTCCACCACTGTCCTAAAATCATTTAGTCTGTATTGTTTTATAAGAATTGTCACATGACGCTAAAAATAAGGCGTCGGTAATTGGTAGCGGCAAGTACTTGAGAACACGCATCTGTACTCGTACTCGGTCTGGAAAAAATGGTAGCGCTGCATTCCTAGTTTGACCTTCAGAAATGTTTCTGGTGGATGCTGAATCTGTTGGGTATTTTGTGTGTACTTGAAAATGTGGCTATTGGAGTACTATTCTTGTTATATTGTAACTTGGGAGTGGGTGAATGAGCTGCAGCTGGACTTGTATACAAGCATGGTGTTGAAATTTGTGAACTGATTTGCTTTATTTACAAAAGAACAAATCTTTCTACTGATTTAATAATTATTAGTATAAGTATTGCAAAGTAACAGGCCATCAGGTGGTACAGTATTGCAAAGTAACAGGCCATCAGGTGGTACGGTATTGCAAAGTAACAGGCCATCAGGTGGTACGGTATTGCAAAGTAACCGGTCATCATAGTGCTTGTATGGGCTTAATTCATGTGTTATGTAACTGCAAATAATGAATAAGTTGTTGATTTTGTAGTATTTCATAATGAAACAAATGCATTACTATTTTTTTTTTTTCCCCCTCCAATAGAACCATCATGATTCAGACACATGCCCAGCTGACTGTGGCTGTCCACAAAATGTCCTCCTAAAGCATTTCTGCGTGAAGACTGAATATGACTTTGAAAATGTCAACTGCAGAATTGCGTGGCTGCATTTCCTGAAGTATGAAGATCATGACATCTCCACTGATATGTACAATTGCTATAGGTCTAGGCAGACCAATTTTGACAGTGATGTTTCTTTATTTATATACAAACTGCAGGCAAAGCTTTTCCTCTAGTGTTGGGTAGATTGGGGAGTGGTTAGAACCTCCTCTCGGGGTTTTTTTTTTGCTGCTCGTGTTCCTGTTTGGGAGATTCACGCACTTTCTGTGCAATTTGAAAACACCCAAATGGAACCAAGGGCAGAAATAAAAAAAAAACTTGATTTTATTACCTGTCCCCCCAATCTTCCAAAGACTAGATAAAGTTTTGCCTAGAGTTAACTTTGACTTACTGGGCCTGGAGGCTGTGCAGCACAATGCGGAAATACACATTGGCATATGGTGCATATTATTTATATTTGCTAAGATAAAAAAATAGAAACTTTCCACTGAAATTAGAAGTCTATCCCTCTCATTAACAAAAGGTGGACTTTTTCCTTTTCTGAAGGATTTTTACTCAGATCATATGTAGTCTCCTGAAACATTCACAAAGTGTTTCCATATCTTACAGTTAAACTCTATACACACAGTTAAAATAGAAATGTTATGCCTACAGAAAGGTTTGCAGTTCTATTAAACCAGTCTTTATATCCAGGCCCAGCCAGGTCTTGGACCTTCCTGTAGACTGCATTGCAAATAATCCGTACAGCCTGGTCAAAGCTGTGATTGGACAGTAAAGATTTAGAGGTATATCAATGAGCGAATCTGTGCAGAATTGTGGAAAGCAGTGAAGCCAGTTTGGCTTCGAGTGCTCCTGCACAGGACACTGGAAGAGAAAATCAATGTAGATGTTTATGCTAACTTTATGCATACTGCTCAGAAGAGTGGGCACACTCTTCTGAGTAGAACTCGTCCTTCATACACTTTAAAATACTGAAGAAGCTGTGTGGCTATAAGACACAGTCCAACATCAGGAAAAGTGTGTAAATAAAAACTCCCCTTTCTGCGGTTTCAGCACTACTAAAACAAAGGTCTATAATACCCATTGTATAATAAATAATTTCAAAGCATTCATTGCATGTCTGATATATTTAAAGGCTTTGTTTTTCTAAGCTTTTAGAAATAGAAGAATGGGCCCACTGCTAGGCATTGGGTTGATATTTTTATGCCCTTTGTACAAACCTACAGAAATAAAGGTTTCAACTGAAATATGACTTGTGTTGCTTGCATGGTGCTGGAAAAAAAGTGATAGAAAAACTGTTTTATTCTGACTTATTAACCCCCTTTACCCCCTTTGGCTAAAAATTGCATCAACATGCAGCTCTGCATGCTAATATGAAATCCTCTTACATTCATTAGCTAAACATATTTATTTTACTTACAATGTCTTGTTTTCTATTTCCTGGTCCTCTTTGGCACAATTGATGTAATCATGCCCAAGCACTGCATCCTGAGAAGGTTACATTAGCAGAGCATTGCTGGGAAATCTCATCTGTAATCTCATGAGCTCAGGAAAAGGCATTTTCATCCCCTGAGATGATGTGGATGGTCACATGTGCCAGAAATCCAGGAAGTAAAAGGAGAGATGGTAAAGGGAGATGGATTAATTTGCCCTTGGTTAAAAATGGCCACTGTAAAATTACACCCCAAAACAAATTCTGCCACTCCTCCCAAGTATAGAGATTCCATACACACTTACATGGAAGGAGGAGTCTATTTATTTAATGTGGTTGATGTGTTTCCTGTTGCAGGCAGGCGGAGCCTATATCTCGATGGCTGTCCTGGAAGATTCCTGGAAACAGAGTTATCAGGTAATCAACTCATGTTTTCACAGCTTACATGGATAGAGGGGCCTAAAATCCAAGGAACACCTTCAGGCTTTCAAGGGGCATAAATCACGCTTCAGATTTCCTGCGTAACTATCGCATGTGGAGCAAAAGACAGCAGGAACATCCATAAAATAACTTTTTTTTTTTTTTTTTACGCAGACACCAAGTTATCTGACATGGGGCATAGTGAGTATTTTAAATATATCATTTTGTTGCCAAAAATTCTTGGATTATAAAGACGGAAAATGACAAATTAATTTTTATTTTGTTTCTTTAGTTTCCAAGAACTTGTTGCAAACAATGAGATCTTCAAGAGACTCACCGTGCCTTTTGTCAGATAACATGGGGTGGCTGCTTTAAAAAAAAAGTCCTTTTGTGGGTGTTTCTATTGTCTTTTGCACGTCAGGGCCTCCAAAAATGTGATAGCTTTGCAGGGAATCAGACGCATGATTTATGTCCCTTGACAGGCTGAAGGATTTTAGACCCCACTATCCATGTAGGCTGTGAAAAAGTCTTACACGTGGGGTATCTCCGTACTTGGGGGGGGACTAGCATAATTTGTTTTGCGGTTGTAATTCAAAGTATGCCAATGCTATGTCTAAGAAATATCTCATAAAATGACAACTTTGTGTAAAACATTTTTTTTTTTATAGGTAGTCAAGAAAACATGCATAGTTTACATCCCTTGAAAGGCTGAAGGTATTTTTGGCCCCTCTATGCGGCTAGGCTGTGAAAAAGTCTCACACGTATCCCCATACTCCGTACAAGTAGAAGAATGTGTATTGGCGTGTAATTCTAAGTATGTTCATGCTGTGTGCAAAAAATCTTACTAGAATGACTAATTCATTTTCCAAAACCTTGTAGCAAAAAATAAAATCTTCAAAAGACTCGCAGGGCCTCTCAGAAAATACCTTGGGGTGTCTACTTGCTAAAATGTGGTCATTTTGGGGGGGTGTTTGTGTACTGTCCTGGCATTTCAGGGCTTCAGAAAATGTTATAGGTAGTCAAGAAATCAAATGCGTAATTTGCGCCCCTTGCAAGCCTGAAGGTGCTCCTTAGATTTTGGGCCCCTCTATGTGGCTGGGCTGTGAACAATTGTCACACATTTGGCATCCCCATACTCACTGGGAGTAGCAGAATGTGTTGTGGGGTGTATTGTTTTTTTTAAAAAATATATATTTCTTTTTTACAAAATTGTAAATAAAAACATCAACACAAACACCAACAGTCGCAAAAAACACTAGCGGAAAAGGTTTTACAATGGAGGCTATAGGTCAGGAATGGGAAATCCCAACCAGCTTGTCCCTCAGGTGAATGTGTACATAAGTATCAAGATGTCCCATCTAGTGCATCAGAGTGTGGAAAAGGCAAACTCAAACCTGGTCAACAGAGAGGGGGGAAAGGGGAAAAGGGAAAAGAGGGCTGTCATTCGAAGTATGTCCATGCTCAGGTATCAGGCTAGGCATCTGAGCATTTGGGCGAGTACGGGTACTCGCCCAAATACTCGGAATAGTCACTGATACCAGTATGGGTATCGGTGCATCCCTAGTATTACAAATGTACATTAGGGAGCTGGGGCTTGCAGAAGTTCTGCATTTAAATTTATCTGCGAAAAAGACAAGTTAAGCAGTTAAGAGCACTCAAGGGAATGGATTGCCTGCAAAGAATTCCGGCTGCTAATTAAAAGTATTTTACTCAAGGAAAGGCTCCTTGAATAGTGACAGGATTGGCTATATTCAGAATGGAGGGACAAAGATCTTCTGGTGCACCATGCTTATGAAAGGGCCACCTTGGTTGATACTGCAAACGTATTGCCCTTATCCAGACAAGGAATTATGAACTTATTCCATCATAGTAGCTGCCATAAGACCCATGTGCCTTTCATTCTCCACATCTCATTTTGTTAAAAATTTTGACTTGCATGGTTGTAAGCAAATACAGTTCTCATGAAAGACACTTTAATGCATGAAGACCACTGCATTGATTTGTGGGACAAAAGCTGTATATAATGTAACACTGCAATGAAACCAGTGTTAGGTGAGTTGAAGTATCATTTGGTGTAGCAAATGATCCTAATCGCCATATTATAATGCTTTCATCGATAAGAGGGCTGAACAAGAAAAAACGCAAATCTTTTAATGTTTATCAGCAGTACATTTATTTGTGCAGCAATCCTTTAATAACAAAAAACAAACAGTACAGGTCTCTATGCTTTTTAAGAAATGTGTCCAGCCTAAAAGTATACTGGAGGTTACAGAAAAAACTGGTGCAGTGTGTAACCAACAAAATATAATTACATCACTCTTTTAATTCAACTCACTGAAATTTAAGTACACGGGGAATTTATCCAAACTGGAGCAATTGCTCATGGCAACCAATCAGCTTCTCTCTTTAATTTGTTCAGTTAAAAATGAAAAAGAGAAGCTGATTTGTTGCCATGCACAGCTGCTCCAGATTTTGTCTGCTCCAGTTTTGATAAATTCCCCTCACACTATATTCTCAAAACATTCCAGCCACCTCTCATACGGCTAAATAGCACAACAATTTTTCCCAAACACAAACGTATTATACATAAAAGGCATTCCCACGGAGTCCACACCCTCAGAAGAAGCTACTGTCCCAGCCAGGCTCAAAACACACATCCACTGGGCCCAGTACCTATTATTCCAGTAGTAGTGATGAGCAAATGTGCCTGGGTTCAGTTTGCAGCCGTTCATCGAACAGCTGAAGAAAATCTGCAACAAACCCCGAATATAGTGTCTGCACCCTGTTGAAGTCTATAATAACAAAAAAACCTATTGCTGCTAAATGATAGAACCATCCATGTTTGTACTCTAAAGACATGCTGGCAGGTTAATTGGCTCCTGTCTAAATTGGCCCTCATATGTATGCATGTGAGATAGGGACCTTAGACTGTAAGCTCCTTGAGGGCAGGCACTGATTTGAATGTTCACTGGGTAGAGCTCTGCGTAAATTGTCGGCGCTATATAAATACCACTAATATATAAATACACAAAGCTGGCCAGGGGATCCAAAAAAAGTGGAGTCCCCCCTGAAAACCTGAAAGGTTTTCCTAGATAGGGAAACTGGTATAGATTTTAAAAGGGGGACACCATGGAGAGAAAAAAAAAACCTCCCCCTCATAACAGA